ACAATTATATTACATGTGACCTGCATATAACATACAATGGAATGTTATTTAGCCCTAAAAAGGAACAAAATACTGATACATGCTACAACATGAATGAAACTTCAAAACATTATGCTCAGGGAAAGAAGCCAGACACAAAAGGTCACATATTGTAGGTCACTCCATTTATATGAAAAATCAAAATAGGCAAATCCACAGGGACAGAAAGCAGCCCAGTGGTTGCTAGGGGATGGGAGCAGGAGGGAATGAGGAGTAACTGTTAATGAGTTCAGGGTTGATGAAAATATCTTCTAACTAGATAGAGGTGATGGTTGCACAACACTGTATTGCACTAAATGCTATTAAGTTGTACACTTCACAGTGATTAGCGGTTAATTTTATGTTATGTGAATTTTAACTCAAAGAATTTTTTTTCTACTTTAAAAAAGAAAGAATTGAGCACAGCCGTGGTGCAAAAACAGATTCTAGGCTTTACCTCAAGGTGTTTTCTTAACTGAAGATTTTCTCAAATTAGCTCCATTGCCCCGATGAAGGGAAAAGGGAGATCTCCCATCGCATGTTGCTACCATTCTCCAAAGGGGCATCTCAGTGTGTTCCTGCCCGCTGTAGACCCCACCATCAAGATTCTCGGCCAGTTCCACCTTTTGTTGGCTTTTCTTATGACATTAGCATTTTATATCACATGGTGACCAGAAAGAAGAGGTGAGAGCAAGCTAGGAAAGCTTTCTCCACATGTGGCACTGAAATAAGTTCTTAGTAAGTTCCTTTGAAATAGAAAGAAAGAAAGAAAGAAAGAAAGAAAGAAAGAAAGAAAGAAAGAAAGAAAGAAAGAAAGAAAGAAAGAAAGAAAGAAGGAAAGAAAGAGGCAAAACAGAACTCTATTATGCTGTATATTTTATCTTCCATCCTGGCTATTCTGAGACACTTACCTCCCCAAAACCACCTTTGCCCAGGACCCGGAACTCTTCGAAGTACTTTTCTGATACCGGTTGCATCTCAAAGACTTTCCACTGCAGAAACTTGTCATAGAGGGGGCTGGCCAGGAACTCTCGGAAGGGCTGGTCCTGCAAGAAGGCCATGGCCTCGGCCTTGGCCAGCTCCACCAGGGAGGCCCGCTCTTCCTCGGTGGCGGCTGCTTTGCACTTGGTGACCAGAGCAGGGCTGAGGAAGGGGTGTGGCTGCTCGGGGGCTGGGGGAGCCGCGCAAGTGGCCACCAGCCCCTGCAGCATGCTGCCCTTGGCGGGGCCTTCCTCGGCCAGCTCCCAGCTCTGCACCTCCTCCAGGAAGCCCATGGCCTCCTGGTACGCGGGCATCGTGGCGAGGAAGTCCCGGAAGAGGCGGCGGCCGATGGGCTGCTGTTCGCACAGGCTGTGGAAGTCGGCGGGCAGCGCCTGGCGGAGCTGCTCGCAGCTCTGCGGCCCGGGCAGCATCAGGCTCCGGCGCCGGCGCTGCAGCTCCTTGCTGTCGGCGTCTGAGGTCTTCCGGGCCTGCAGGTAGGCCGTGTTGGCGATCAGGTTGTCCAAGCCCCCCATGTCGACCATGGCTGAGCACCGAACGTGCTCTCCCGGCAAAGAAAAGGAAGGCGGGAGGGCGGTGGCGGGGACGTGGTCGGGCCTGCGGCCAGCCGGCTGCTTCCCTGTTCCGAGGTTCAGTAACTTCCAGGGGATTTACAGCGAGTCTTCTGGTCGCGGGTGGGACTGGTGGAGGGTGAGGAAAGAGGTTTCTCTTGTAAGAAGCTTTGCTGGCTATGTATAGCCGGGAAGGGCACATCACAGGTCACCCACCGGGGTGAAGGCAGCCTGAAACGCCTGCAGGGTCTACCGGTCCATGATGGAGCCTTTCTCCCTATGCACCTGCTCCCTGAGTCCACCGCTACCAATTTCCAAAGGAAGGAAGTCCCAGTGAGGTGGTGCACGCTTTGTTGCTGACAGTGGTGTTTTCAATTGAGTCTAATTTTATGTGTTTGCCAGCCGGTACAAGCTCTGTAAACTCCTAGGAATGACAGGTTAGAAGAGGAGCTTTGAAAAGCTGGAGAGGTTTTCTTCCTCATGTCTAGCAGCCTGACAGAGCAGTTACAGGATGGGATGCTCTGAGCGGTGAGTCCCAAGACTTGTTCCCAGAGACCCTTGGGGACCCAGGTCGTGGTTCTCAGAGGGGGCGGTGGCTCTGAAGCCACAGATCCTCCAGCCACGGCCTTCTTATTTCTGAGGAGTCTCTGACCTAAAGTTAAATGGGTGGGGGAGGGGGTCACCTTGGCCCCCCCAAAACCCCCAAAGAACATCCGGGGAAGTTACATCAGCAGGAAGAGCACCCCACTGCACAGCACGTGGTGGAGACTGTTCCAAGGGCACAAGCCTAACAAGGGGAATCTGAAGGCGAAGGAGCCACACGTGTGTGGAGACCCCGAGCAGTGAAGTTCCAGGCGCGGCCCCGCTCCGCATCTCAGCCCAGGCTCCCTCCCGAAGCAGAGAAGCGTCCCTCCAGGAGAGATCGCTCAGAGCCGCCCCAGACCGCGACCTCACAAAGTACAGATATTGGTTTAGACAGAGATCAGGCTAAGAATCTCTGCTCCAAAAATAACACTTGTGTCCTCCAGGGAAAAAATACTCAGGCTTTTTCTACACAAAGCAAGGCTCAGGGAGCTTAAAAACAAAGTCATTCAGTCTTACGCCAGAGTGTTTAAAAGGAAAAAAGAGTGGAAGGAGAGGGAAAAAAGCAAAACAAAACAAAAAGGTGGTCAGTCTTTTTCCAAGCAAACAACCTCTAGCACACACTCTGTCCAAACATCATCATGACGGCCATGGTCTGCCTGAGAGAGCCGGCCGGCCGTCCTCCGGGGCAGATACACACTTGGTCTCACGGCTACCAAGAATTATGTAATGAACTCGTGGGTGCCCTCTGGCTTTGCCCTGCTGCGCAGTAAATCATAAGCCCAGTGGCAGAGATGGGGGCTCTGCACGAGTGACCACTGCTCGGAACCATGCCATCTGCTTTGAAATTCACACAAGATATGTTGGTCCTTTTTTTTTTTTTGGTTCTTGATATGTCATCCTGGGGCCCACATTTCCGAGTAAAAATCAATCTGAGACTCTCCCGAGGAGGAAGTGCCTTTTCCTGTGGTTCTTATGAATACAGTGGCAATCCAACAGGGCAGAACTTTGAGAAAATGGTAGAATTGTCATCACATCACTCTTTAACCTTATTGTTGAAAAAAGAACATTTTTCACTGATGACTGCTACAAACTGCTTGATTCCACTCACACTGATGGATACTTTATTTTACCCCTGGGTAATCACTTAACCCAGCACTGTGCAATAGACACATGCAAAGCTACATAGGGAATTTCAGATTTTCTAGCAACCACATTGAAAAGAGAAAAAGAAACAAGTGAAATTAACTTTAATAATATATTTTACTTGGCCCAATATATGCAAAATGGTCTCATTTCAACATGTAATTGATAGAAAAATTGCTAAGGGGATATTTTACATCCTTTTTGTTTGTGTGCCCTGAGTTTTCCAAATCTGCTTTGTATTTTACTTACCATACCTCTCAATTCAAACCAGCCACATTTCAAATGCTCAGCAGCCACACGTGGCCAGTGGCTACCTTGTTGGACAGCACAGACTTAACCCTTCTTTTTGTAGCTTTTCATTCATAAATAGGAGGAAGTTTTTCTTCTGTTTTGTTTTCTAATCAGTCATACCATAGATCATCTGGGTAAAAACACTCACTCCCTTAGTAATTAAAGATGATCTAACTGATGAGAACAGAATTTAGGTAATATTTGAACACAAAGTCTAGAAGTTATGTTTATATGTTGACTGCTGGCAATTTTAAAAAGAGTACCATTATTTTTAATGTTTTACCTGCCTGAAAAAGAAAGAGATTTAAAATGGAACACTTTATTTGATTCACTAACAATTAGGGTTCAGGGCTTTTCCCAACTTAATGAAATAATAATTGTAGATCCAATGAAGGAAGAACACTGAATCCTTAGGTTAGAAGCAGAGCTAAGTGCTGGGCACGTTCAGGATATCCTGTACCACTGGGGAAAAGTATCAGAAGTCTTGGATTGGAGATGTGGCCCTACGTTTACAAGCACTAACTCCAGCACTGCTTAGGAAAGTGAATTCTGGCTCTAGCAAGTCCTAGCTGTGTGACTTTGAGCAAGTTACTTAACTTCTCTGAGCCTCAGTATCATTATGGGAAAATAGAGAAAACCAGTGTTGATTCTTGAGTAAGTCCTTGGGAGAGTTAAATGCCAAATAGTGCCTGGCACAAAGAAGTGATCAAAAAGCATTAACTTTTTAAATAGTGACTATCAATCATCAAACCCTGATTCAGAATTATGCTTTTCTTATATACATATTGGAGGCAGGAGAGAACTAGGCCAAGTGGTAGAAGGTGGGTTCTGATGTCCCATGCCCAGCTAGCACAGAGCTGCCAACTCAGGGTCTCACGTGATTCTGGAAAGCTGTGGGGCCTGGTGGAGCTGGAAGACAGGGAGGTCAGATTCATTAAGTGACGTGAAAGATTGTAAAAACAAGCTATTGCAACCAAGCAATTTACTATATGCTGCCATTAAAAAAAGATGACAAACTCTGTCATGTGAAAAGCAGAGATATTTCACTTTGAAAGAAAAAGCAACTGTGATAATAGAAAAAAAAACCCCAAAAACGAAAATATCTTTGTATCTTTTAGGACTAATTCTGTAACCTAAAGAAAAGGAAAAATGCTCTTTACTCAGGTCTTCCATTGCATTTTGCCTCATGTGGTTTAAAGCATTATTGATGACATGTATGCTTTTAAATTTTAAAATGCTCTGATGTCATACAACACTTGAAACACAAGGACCATAAAAAAGGAGTTTAAGTTACTGACTAGTAATTGAGTCCTGGTTTGTTTCTCTTTCTAAGGATTTTTAATTTTGAAAATACCCCTATGATAAGGTTAATGTAAAGCTAGGTTTCTAAGGAAGAATATGACCATCATTTATAATGCACAATTCTCTGCACGGTCCAATAGCCCATCTTTCTGAGGTTCAAGAATTATGAAATAATGTAGCTTGATACTGTGTGATCTCAGAAGCAGAAGCTATGTTGAAATGTGTAAGTTCTGAAGCAGACTAATATGTCAGCATTAGGATACCCAGAGTCTGAATTATTCTTTGACTTCTGATTTAAATTGGCTCACAGTGAAGATTTTGCTTTTTTCGTTCAGTAGCAGCTGTCTACTGGAAGAAAAAGCAAAAGGGTCTTTATTCTTCCAACAACAGCTGACCACACTGCACATTTTAATAATCTAAAGAAATCAAGTGTATCCTTTGTTGGTTAAAACATGTTGACACTAAACAGAGAAGAGGTGGAGCCAGATAAATTTTAGACTGTTGTTTTCAATGTGATCATAGAGTTTTCTCTCAGAAATTCAGTTTCCAAGCAGTTTGTCTTTTCTGTTGAAATATTGACTAGTAAGACCAGTTGGTGGTCCTGCTGGGTTTTCTTCAACAGAATTCTACAGATAATTAAGGTTTTCTTAGTGAGATTAGAAAGGTGTGATGCACAAGTTATTTTCGGAGAACTAAGTATAAAAATCATATGAGGGATAAAAATCACCATTTTATCACACCATTTTTGGAGATATTTTTGTTACAGAAAACCCCAAATGTGCATAAAAGTAGTGAGAATAATTTTAAAAAAACTCCCATACAGTCATCATCCAATTTTATTAAAAGCATTAGTAGCATTTGCCAATTTTCTCTCACTTTCATCCAACACACCCACTCGTTTTTTGTTTTCTTTTGTTTTAAAGACTTAATTTTTTGAGAGTAGTTTTAGATTCACAGATGAGAAGAAGGTAGAGATTCCCCATCTATCCTCTGTCCCCACACATGCACAGCCTCCCATATTATCAACATCCCCCCAACCAGGTACTTTTCTTACCATTCATAAACCTACATTGACATATCATCATAATCATCCAAAGTCCACAATTTACATTAGGATTCCCCCTTCTCTCTTGCTCTCTCTCCTCTTTTCTTTTTTTTTTTTTTGCTGGAATATTTTAATTTTTTAAATTCTTTTTTTGGAGAGGGGAGAGATAGTTAGATTTACCACTTATTTATGTTTAGAGGAGGCACTGGGAATTGAACCTATGACTTCGTTTATGCTAAGCACACACTCTACCACTTGAGCTATACACT